AAAAAAATATTTGTGAAAGCCAATGGTTTTCATGAATAAGCACTTCTCAGTTTATAATATGTCTTTAATATTTCTAGAATGCCAAGTAGTTATTTTTGACAATTTTGTCCAGCTTTATAGCCACTTTTTTGAAGAAAGCTCTCCGTGCTTTAATTTTATCCTCCAAAAAATACCCTGAGGATTCCCTCCAGCGACCAAGAAGAAATTATAGTATCTAGTTTCCATGATTCGATGATTTTGGTTACCAAAAATAACATTTTATTTTTTAGACTTCTAGAGAAGAAATTACAACCACATAAGTGAAAAAGCTGCTTCTTAACCCATAGAATAAAAGGTCTTACAATTCACATGTAGTTTAAATACATTTTGTATATATTGTCTATAGTATATGTGGTATATAATGTACCTTCTGAACTCTTTCAACCTTACTTTATAACTGAGTATTTTTCTTTTAATTTCAGATTTCAGTTAAGTTCCTTATGACTTCGCCTGAAATTTCTTCCCTTTCATGGGGGCAAATGAAAGTTCAAGGTTCTTCTAAAACTTATAAGGACTGCAAAGTGTGGCCAGGAGGCAGTCGGGCTTGGGATTGGAGAGAAACAGGAACTGAGGTAAGCTATTAGTGTTTTGTTTATTTTAAATATATTTGTTTTTATTTATTTATGCATGTATTTATTTATCTGTAGGTTTGTTTATGCATACCCCAGAGGGGTATGGGGGAGGGGGTATGCATACCCCAGAGGGGTATGGGGGAGGGGGGAGTGTGTGTGAGAAGATTCACTAGAGACAGTGGGAGCAGAACAGGTGGACCTACTGGCATGTGCTGCTAAGCTGTGGTTGGCAGTAGCTTGGTAGTGCTGAGACTTTGACCCCTGCACAATCAGGGAGGCCCCCAAGCTATTAGCATTTTATTGACACTACATAAGACCAAACAAATGATTACCAATCTCCAGAGCCATAATGACCAAGCAAAAATGAATTGTTTTATTTCCCCTCTCTCTTGTGAGGAATAATAAACATTGCATTAGAGTATACAATTTCATTTTATGCTTTATTGTTATAAACTTGTGCAATAGTTCCCACTCTTGATTCTAAGTATTATCATCCCAAAAAGAAACCCCATAAACACTAGCAGTCACTATCATTCTTCCCTCACCCAACCTCCTAGCAACTAGTAATCATCTTTTTTTTTGGCTATAGATGTGCTTATTGTAGGCATTTCGTAAACTGAAAATCACTTAATCCTCTAGGTGTGTACTTACCTAGAATTGCAAGTGTTGGGTGATATGGTAACTTTATGTTTAACCATATGAAGAACTATTAGACTGCATCCAAAAGCAACTGTACCATTTTACATTTTAGATTTTAGGAAGGTATGACCAATCCAGCTTTTCTAGATCATTCTTCACCGACACTGTTGTTGTTTCACTTTGTTTTTATTATACCACCCCAGTAAATGTGGAATGTTATCTCATGATAGCTTGATTTTCCATTTCCCTGTATTACACTTCTTCCATCATTCTTAGTATGTTATACCCAAGGTAGCATCTCTGTTCATTAGTTTAAGTCCAGTGAAAGAAGAGAGCCTCTAACCACCAACACATCCATATGAGACTTAACTTCAGCAACAGATGGGGCAAGATAAAAAAAATTGATGTCCTGTTCCATCCAGGAAGAAAGTATTCCTCTTTGGAGTTGAAAAGAAAAATAGTCCTGAGTACTTGGTTAGAGCAGTCTAAAGTAGAGTCTCCACTTTACGGAGCTGGGAGGTGGGACACAGGCTGTCGTCTTTCCTTAAATACCATAGATTCTCATTTTACCTAACACGTATTTATATATTTTCTTGAATAGGTATTTCTTCATTTTCTGTTTATCCTTAGGAGAATTTCCAAAGACGTCAAATTGTTTTCTTTTCGTGGTGTTTTTTTTTTTTCCCTTTCTTAGGGAAAGGATTAGGATTTTCTTTGTTGTTTCCTTTAAAATTTTTCATTTAATGAAATTTAGGTAATGATAAAAGATGATCCTTCAGTTTTCAAGGATAGTTTTAATAGATATAGAATTGTTCATTGACAATCTACTCATTCAGCACTTAGAATGTCATTCCATATTTTTTTATATGTGTGTCTTGTTAACTAGGAGAAACCAACAGTTATTCTTACTGAAGTTGGGTTGGAATTCACTCACTTCTCTTTTGCTGCTTCAAACATTCTCTTTCTCTTTAGCTTTTTGACAGCTTAACTATGATAGGTTTACCTGTGGGTTGCTTTGAATTTATTCTGCTCAGAATATATTGAGCTCTGTGGATATGTTATCATTTGGGGGAAAATTTTAGCCATTAAATATTTAAATATTCTTTCTGCTCCTAACTCTTCTCTCCTATGACTCCTGTTATGAATAGACAGGTATGTTTCACAGTGTCCCCTGGGTCTCTCAGGATCTGTTCAGTGTCTTCATTATTATTTTTTTCTTTTTTTCTCATAGCGGCTAATCTCAATTGATTTTTTTTTTTCAGTTTTGCTGACTCCAACTAGCTGTTGAGTTTTTTAGTGAAATTTTCAGTTCAGTCATTATACTTTTCACCCCCAGAATTTCTACTTCATCTTTATAAAAAAATTGTCTTTCTGTTGATATTCTCTATTGAAAAACATTCTTCGTACTTTCACTTATTTCCTGAGATATAGTTTTCTGAAACAATGCCTGGAACCCAAAAGTATTCCAGTGTTTGCTGAGGGACACTGTCCAGTTTTGTGCATTTAGCACTACTCAGCCAGGTAGTTGAAAACTCTGCCAGCTTCTTAATTGTGCAGAATTTCAGGGTTACCCATTGTTGTGACCTTATTTATGTCATGTCATGTGCACAACTCTGGCCATGTGTATGACCTTTCATCACCAAAGTTCATAGCAGAGTTTTTCAAAGCCTCCTATAGACATCTCATTTCCCAGTTTTTCCTTTTGAGTTTTTTGGTTAACCTCTTGTTTACCCTATTACCTACTGCTATGGGCAGTTAAGCAATGATTTTCTGACCATTTCTGAGAAACTTCTTTGGGGAAGAAAGGTGATGTTCATTAGCAAGCTCCAATTAGCCATTTTTCATTATTTTAAATTGTTTTGTATTGAGGTAACATTGGTTTAAACACTCCTTAGAGTTAGGGGAACAGGCTCATACCACTTCAGATTAGATCACCACCCCACACCCGTTACCAAAGCACTCACAATCCTCTGCCACAGTCACTGGGCTCCTTGCCTTCTTTCTCCCCATTTCCTAACCTCACACTCTGGGAGCCTCAATTCTGCAGTCTGATTTCCAGGATTTATTCTGGTTTGGTTTTATCTGTTCCTTTGTTTTGTTTCTTTATATTCTACATATGAGTGAAATCATCCAGGATTGTCTTTCTCCTTTTGATTTAGCTTATTTAGCAGTTCCTTCTGTGTTCACAAAGTCAGGAAATATACCCTGAATTGTGCCGTATATTTCCAGAGTATATTAAGAAGTTGGTTTTTGCCAGTGTGCTCGGTGCTTTTATAGAAGCTTTTCATGGATTCTTAATCACAATTTTTACTCAGATGTAACTATTTTGGATTTTATACTTATCCAGTACTATGCTGGGCCTACATTCACTAGCTCATGAAGACTGGATGTTAAGTATTTGGGAATCTTGTAATCCAGTTTTTATCACACCCATTATTAAATCTAAATCATAAAAACCTATTTAAATAAATCATTGAAAACAGAGGAGACATATACTTAAAATCTCTAAATTACTATTATGTTACATGCTGTGCTCTTGAAATTATTTACATCTGTTGTTATCTAACAGTGAAAATACTGTATGATGTGTGCAACTCTACACCTGTTTCTAACTGCTTTCAGTGATGTCACACTGGCATCTTGGCATTGGTCAAGTGGAAGACACAACATACTAGGTTTTTTGTTTTTTTTTTTTTGTCTTTAGAGCTTTATCACTTAAAAAAGTTATGACTAAATCCTTATTTTTTAAATTTTTTTAATGCTACAAACAGGCTTTATTTGAAAACAAAACAAACAGAAGAAATGCTTGCTTCACCTCTCCTTCCTATTCCATGGAAATACATAACTTCTGAAAGTCCACCCCCACAATTCCTCTGGAGAAAGACACTGTGAGAGATTGCTAGGTATTACAGGTTTTATAGCTTGCTGATCTGTACATTAGTGGAACTTGCTAGCTTTCCAACCTCATTTAAATAAGTTTCTGAATATTAATGTTGACATTTACCCACCTTGATCAGGATATTCCTCTAAAGTAAAATAATAAATGACCTCTTTTCCCTTGGTACTAGGAAAGAAGACCTGAGTCTCAAGTCCAAAATATATCCTTGTCAAAAAACTGTCATATATAATGCCCACGTTTGACAAGCACTATGTCACCTTTTCTAAGCACTTTCAAATATTTACAGTAATGATATCACCTATTGTCTACTCTTTTGCTTTTTTTGTACTGGTGTTTTATCAGTGTTTATTCCCCCATATTTGGAAGTTATAAGTTCTATTTATATTTTTTAGTGGTTATCTTAAAATTGTCATATATTATGCCCACAGTTAATATAACACTAAGTGGTAAGAAAATGAAAGTTTTACTGGGTATCATCTCAAAACATTATTGTAGTTTCACCTTTTCTAAGCACTTCTTTCTACAAAATTTTATAAAATCAAATTCAGAAATTAGCAAGCGCACCAAAGATTTGTGTTGCAATGTATGAATGATGGCACTAAACTAACAAGTAAATGGAAAGATCAGTTGATTAAATAGATCAAAAAAGACTGAGGTTTCTTGGTATATAGCTATAACAAATATGTTTTCCTTTAAATAAATTTTATTCTTAAACACAATAAGTATTATAAATTACTACTACATTATAAAGTATTAAAATTATAATGAATAATAGACCTGCATATCCATTATTCAATTTTTTAAATAAAATTAAAAAAATAAAGTCGGAGGTATTTTTCTTCCTTCCATCTGTATTAGTATTCTGAATTTCTGTTATACTATTTCAAATATCTGTCTATATTCATCTCAGTATTTTGAGTCGTTCTTCATGTTCAAATATTTACAGTAATAATATCACCGATTGTCCACTCTTTTGCTTTTTTTGTACTGGTGTTTTATCAATGTTTATTCCTTCATATTTGGAAGTTATACATTCTATTTCTATTTTTTAGTGGTTCTCTTAAAATTGTCAAATATTATGCCCACAGTTAATATCATACTAAATGGTAAGAAAATGACAGTTTTATTGTAAGAGAAGAATGTCCATTCTCACTGCTATTATCCAACATAATACTGGAAGTCCTAGCCAGAACAATATAGAAAACTACAAAAGGAATCTAAATTGGGTCAAAAGTAGTAAAACTATCACTGTTTGCAGTTGATATGATAATACACACAGAAAACCACAGAGACTCCACTAATATACTGTTAGAAATAATAAATCAGTACAGTAAAGTAGCAGGTTACAAAGTAAATATACAATAATTTGTTGTGTCCCTGTAATAGCAAACAATGAACTAGAAGAGAAAGAAATCAAGAAGACAATCCCATTCCTATCACATCAAAAAGAATTGAATATCTA